TATTTTTAGCTCCAATTTTTTTCAAGTGATTTCTACAAAATTTTGGTTTTCCCCCATTATTCCTTGCAATATGTCGACTATCTGCTTCATATTCATTTGAGGCATGGCCTTTATCTTTTTGTCTGACATTTCAATTTTTTAAGTCTTTTGTCCCTACAGGCATGTTTTTAAGGGTAGCCTGTGGTGAAACAGGGAGTGATGTCCTGGTATTGGTATCACATAGCTTCTTCATTGTCGAGGCTCAAGCTCTAAATTTTCTCCTATTGTGCAGTTCATGAGGCTTTCTCTGTAATGCCATGAAAGATTCTCCTCGAGTTGTAGAAATATGGTATGATTAATCTTATATAATATGACATTGAGGGATTGATATTTTGTTTGTAGCTATTAAAGAAAGAATATTCTTGAGCTAAATAGCATGATGGGCGGAGTATAGAGGGCATGTTTCTCCTTTTCTGCTTTCTCTCTACTCCTCTTCACCCTCCTGTTCCCCTACCCCCTCCTTTCTCTTTCCTTCTTCTCTTATTTCTCTCCCAACATCCCCTCTCCCCACTCCCCTGACCTTCTTTCTGTCAGAATATTTTTATCATTTTCAAGGCCAGGTTCAATAGCCCCATAATTTTCCTGATTGCAATCAATCTGTAGTGAATATCAGTTTGGAGGAAGCTATTTTTAACAGAAATGCACATGGCATGAATATAGGTAGTCAGAAACATGTAAGGTATACTTTTGAGGCACTGCAATGTGAATATTGGAAAGTCACGAGGTGCTATCATATTTTAAAATACAAAGATAAAAAAAAATCACAATTGGTAGGGAAAAAGATTTCTTGACCAAATGAGGCTGACACAATTAGTTACATTTTAGAAAAAAAAAAAAAGTGAAGATAAATGCTCACTTCATATGTATAAATATTCTACACAAAATTAAAGATGAGCAACATAGAAATTTTAGGAATCGATATGAACAATACTAAACTCAAAATTAAAAGTGGGAAGAAGCAATGAACAAACAATTTTTAGAGGGTAAAACCTAATAGTAAATATATGGGAAAAACTCCTTTAATAATATTTATAATAAAAGATATTGAAAATCTGCCAATTACGTCTTAAGAAGACTGCTGTGCAATAGCACTATCATATCCATGCTTATTCTTGGCTGCTGAGAAAAGGAAGAGATACAAGGGTTGACTTGTATTTTAAAACGTTGGTTTTGACTCAAACCTCCCTATCCAGCTTTTGCTTCTTCCTTTTATGCATACACTGTCACTACATTTCCAGCCTCTTTTCCTCAGTCCTACTAGTAGGTTTGACCTCTTTTGTTTTGGGCATTTTATTCCGATTTTCCCCTTTGTTCTCTCTTTCTCTCTTGATTCCTACTTCAATTTGTGATTGACAAGGAAGGCAGCATGGTACGAGTGCAAAGCACACATTCTGGAGCAAGCCTACCTAGTTCACAGTCCCAGATCTACTAATTAGGAACCAAATGAAACTAAGGAGCTGACTTGACATTTTGGCATCCCCTGCTATAAAGTGGGAGAACTTTAATAAATTGTGTTTTGTAGGTTTGATTTACAGATCAAATGTGTCTATTTGTGATGTACTTAGAGTGGAGTCTGGCAAATAATAACTGCTACATAAATAAAGATTAAACGCATTGATGTTTTCTTTTTTATATTTTGCATAGATAATCTGTGGTTTAGTAACTTTCTTTCAATGCTGACAGTGTTTTGAATGCAGAAGTGTTTCATGATTGTATAAATATATCAGTCATTCTTTCTTTTTTGATTTCTAATTTTTTTCATACTCATTAAAGATTCCACTAGCCAAAACAATCTATAGTTATTTGTAGAATATTTAATTTTTTTATATTTAAGCATTTCATGTAGATTTCACTTTTAGTAGCAGCTTTATTGTGATATGATCCACATATCATGAAAGTAACCCCTTTAAATTGTGAAAGCAATTTAGTAGTTTTTAGTATATTAGCAAAATTGTGCAGCCATCATGGATATCAAAGAATAGAACATCTTCATCCCTCCAAAAAGGACTTTATATCTATTAGCAGCCATTTGCCACCCCATCCTCCCATCCTCCCATCCCCCAGTCCCCGGTTATCACTAATCTGTCTTCTAGGTCTGTGGATGCAGCCATTCTGAACATTCCATAAAATTGGACTCATGCAATTTGTGACCATATGTGTCTTGCTTCTTTCATTTAACAAAATATTTTCAAGATTCATCCATACTGCAATACATATCAATACCTTATTCCTTTTCTTAATCTAAATAATATTACATTGTATAGATACATCCCATTGTGTTTATCCACTCATCAGCTGACATTTGTGTTGTTTTTACTTTTTAGCTATTATGAGTAGCGTTGCTCTGAACATTTGTGTAGTTTCTGTGTAGCTATGTTTTTTTTTATCCTCTGGGGTATATACCTAAAAATAAAATTGCTAGTCATAGGTAACTCTTTGTTCAACTTTTTGAGGAAATAAATGCCAAACTATATCCAGACCACAGGCACCATTTAATATTCTCACTAGCAATGCTTGAAGGTTCCAAATTTTCCACACCATTAACACTCAGTATTGTCTGTCTTTTTTATTTTAGCCATTGTAGTGAATATGGAGTGGTATCTTATCATGGTTTTTATTCGCATTTCCTTAGTGATTAATAATGCTGACATCTTTTTGTGTTTATTGTCCATTTGTAAATTTGTTGAGAAATGTATTTATGAATATCCTATTCCTCAGTATTTTCTTAAAAGGTTTTTTGGTCAGCCTGTTTTTATCCCTGACTAGTATCTCTGTCTCAGGAAATTGTCATGTTAAACAACTGCTGTTGTTTCTTTCCAATAAAAGTTTAGGGATAAGACTTTGTACACAGAGTGAGCTCTATCTAAGTCTTGCTCAAATAAAGAGAAGTCATGAAAATGTAAGTTTTCAGGGAGCTGTCAGACCAACCCAATGGGGACAATTCTCTGAGGATGGGGCCTTGGGGGAGCTCCAGACTGGTTCTTCTGCCACCAGTGCCAGCTAGCAGGATGGTTTTCACAGCTAGCACAGTTCAAGGACAATTTGTTCAAGGCTACCATGCAGCTGTGGAGAGGGGATAGGGAAGTCAAGTGGAAATGCCACAAATCTGCCCATTCTTACTGAGACTCTGCCACTTTTCTGAATAAATACTATGTGGATTGTTGCAAGCTTTTGACAATTTTCAGAATTCTGAAAAACTTGATTTTGGCCATTTTTGCTAGTGTACTTACTATCTTTATGGAAGAGGAGATTTCCTGATCTTTACTTTGCTGTTCTAGAGGTGCTTCTTGGACCAGAATTTGACAAACAGTGTGAGATTTTTCTCTTTCTTTTTTCCAAAATGGTTATACTTTTGTCCCCACAGATTTGACTTAGTATGGTTAATTTGTTTGAATATATTTATTGTTTCTGGGCTTAAAAAAGATAAATCCTAGTCTATGATATGGCTATAAATTTTATCATTGAGATCACACTGATTTAATAATTATTTTCTTGGTAAATACATAATTAAATAATATAAAAGTGGATAATTACAAGTGTGAAGAATGTAATTAGCAGCTATTTATTTTAGTTATAAGTAAGAAAAACATGTTATTAGCTTTATCAGTTTAAAAAATGTAAACTAAATTAGAACAAACATGGAAATTAAGTCACTTGATACATACATTCATATATTAAATATAAGTATAAAAAAACTATATACATGAGTGACATCACACTTTTTAAAGAAAACATATTTTAAGAATATGGTAATTGTGGGTCTTCCATATTTACAGGCCTAACAATGATCATTTTGTTAATATTAAAACTATACTTTCTTTAATCTATTTTCTTAACTCCTGAATACACCGTTTAAAAAAAAGTGGAATTGTTAAAATACATTTTAAATACAAACACTCTGTTTTATTTTATTTTATTTTACTTTTTTCCTTTAGGACTTTGGAGATGATGGGTCCTTGTATATTACTAAGGTTACTACAACTCATATGGGCAATTACACCTGCTATGCAGATGGCTATGAACAAGTCTATCAGACTCACATCTTCCAAGTGAACGGTAAGAAATATAGTACTGCTATAATCATTTTTTGCTTCACTAGGTATTCAAAGAACATCATAGTTGACTAGGAAGGGAAGGCTTCAATTGTATAAGTTTTGTCAAGGCTCTAACTTTTTGAGTTTGGGGACTCAATGTAAAAACTTTTAAAATTATAAATACACAAAGTGCCAAAGTGAATTAACACTATAAATTAGTACTCTTTTTCTCATTATGAAATATTACAGAGTAACGCATTTTAATTGGAAAATTAAAGATTAAGAAATTTAGATTACTTTTTCAGTTTGGAATATCATGCAAACATATAACTTTTAGAAGCTGAAAGCCATTTCAAATTTTAAATTAGATCGTCTATTTAATTAATCTTAATAATATAGAAAACTGTTTTTTGCATACAGCAAGTTTTGTACTCTTTTTTTTTTTTTGACCTGTAAGGGGATCGCAACCCTCGGCATGGGGGGCCAGCCCACAAGATTTGTACTCTTAATGCTTAATTTGATGGCTATGAGTGTGGACCAAATAGGCTATCATTTCTACAGTTAGAGCTTTGCTTTATTACTGATTGAATTCAAATTTTAGTTATTTACTTGAATTAATATAGGATTGCCTGTATGATTTATAAATAAGTGCTGATTCATTTTCATAGTTTATCATGATATTTATGTTAATCTACTCTATGATTTATAAAAAGAAGGCAGAAACTTACATGACTTTCTGTAGGAACAGCAAGATGGCTAGTGTGAATGGCATGAATTAAGAGGAGAGTGGCAAATAATGACCTTGGAGAGGTAGCCTGTGGTCAGATCACATGGAACCCTCTGGCCCTACATAAGTTTTTGGATTTCCATTCTAAGTGTAATGGGGAGCTATCAAAGTGCCTGGAGTGGCACATTCTGATTTGTTCTAAAATAAGTAAGTAGCTACAAAACTATTTTAGTCATCTAGGTAAGTGATAATGGTGGCTTTAAAGTATAGTGTTAGTGGTGGAGTTATAAAGCAGTGGTCAGATATTTAATACATTTTGAAAGTAGATTTGACATCTCATGCATGTCAGCATGAGGGTTAGAGAGTTTAAAAGATAAGCTTAAGGAATTAAGCAATTAAATATATGCTTGTGACATTTACTGAATTGAAGAAGGAGCAGAACTGAAGATCAAATGAGATTAATTTTTAAAATGTTAACTTAAATATAATTATTGATGGAAAAGTCAGGTATTCAATTGAGGAGAGTGACAGCCCAAAGTTGTATATTTAGATAATGTCACTGTGTATAGAGTGCATTTCAAGCTATAAATCTGAGCTTGATGAGGTCACCTTAGGAATGAGTATAGATGGATATAAAGGTAGAAGACTGAGCCTTGGATCTGAGGTTAACAAGTGGAGAAGAGAAGACCGTGAATGAGACCCTGTGATGGGAAGCATGTGTGCTGGAAATAAATTAAGAAAATGTAACAAGAATTTTGAAAAAACTGGGCAGTCTACTTGACAATTGTTGATACTCAACAGATGCAGATCTAGGCCTTGGTTTCTGGTGCAGACACAGAGTTGATGCATGTTGTTCTAAGTACCTGCAGATTTCTGGAGTCAGACTTTTGTATATAGCCATCATACCTGCTGATACACAATCTTGAGGGCGCTGGACAAGTCAGTGCTGAGAATGATCCCTGGCTAGATGCTGCATGCCTGGGAAAATTGTTGTTGCAAGTCTGGCTCTCACCTCCCTTTTTGTGGTGATCGTTAATTGACTGCTGCCCTAATTGACAAGATTAATACCTTGCTTTTTTTTTTTTCTTTTTTTGAGAATTAGGGAGATTTTTCTACTTAGTTATTAGCTAACAATTAATTCTGCCTGTTACCTCTTAGTCCTAATTCTTCCAGTCTGAGTACCAATCATGTAAGAGTTCTTGGTAGTTTTTAGAGAAGTACATGGTTTATGTCCCCCTGCATAAGAATCACATAAAAACATGGTCAAAAATGCAGAAATCTGGGCCGAGCCTGTGGCGCACTCGGGAGAGTGCGGCCCTGGGAGCACAGCAGCACTCCCACAGCGGGTTCGGATCCTATATAGGGATGGCCGCACACTGGCTGAGCGCAGTGCAGCCAGTCTCAAAAAGGACAAAAAAAAAAAAAAAAAAAAAAA